AACAGAAGAGGCAAACAGCCTCAACCACCAATGAATGGCGACTCTTCCAAGCCGCCAAAGAAAGAATGGGTCCGCGTCAAACGGAACCGTTCGACACTCGAGGAGCGCATTCGCAAGCGCCGCGCGATGTCAGCGCAGGCACGGGCTCAAGCTCAGGAAGCCCGTAGAAAGCTGCAAAAGGAGGTGGAGAAGAAGCCACCACCAACACGACAAGTCTGGAAGCCTAAGTCTGAAGTGGCGACTCAGGCCAAAAAGCAACCAGTGCAGCCTTCTAAGGAAGGTCAAACTCCGGCGAGTCAACCAAAGTCGCCGTCAATCCCAATAACTTCTCCGGGAGATCATGCAGAGTCATCCCGCAAGAAGAAACCAATTTTGGAGCGCCTCGGTCCAATTCCTGACGTGAGAGGCAAAGCTCCAATTCACGAGCGTTTGGGCCCGATGAAGAAGCCCAGAACGACTCAACATACTGGGGGTCGCCATCACCTCCAGCATGACAAAGACCTCAAGGCAGCTGCGCGCACCAATTTGCGCATTGAAGTCCAAGATCACGCCGAAAATTCACGCCCAAAAAGGCATGTTTTGAGGCGGGTAACCTTTGAAAGCCCAAAGAAGGCAAGTCAACCTCAGATGGAAACATTATCATCTGATAATGATTGTGTTGTACCTGAGAAGGCGTGCCCGCACACGATAGGTTACTCTGACTGTCAAAATGACGAGTTGTACTATCGTGCTGGGGGTACGAATAGAACCAGGAAGAGGAGTCCCCGAGAACGGGAAATTCAATGTCCCTGTTCCAAACTCATTCGGGCGGTATTGTCGGAATGCAATTGCATTAAGGCGGTCCCCGAAAGAGTTTCAGTTTTTGAAAGACTTAATGCGGAAACGCCAAAACCAAGGCCTAGGCGCTTCCAACGAAGAAGAAGGGTGATTGAAGACGGAGAATTTCCGAGGGTCACCACCAACATGACGAGCAAAGGGACATCGGCACGAGAAGATTTCGAGTCGATTCTGAAAGCTTCCCGACCTAGAACCCGTCTGCAGTCCGGAACCATAGAGCGAGCAACTTATGGTAGGATTCGGACAAGACGCCCTTCAGAAGATGAAGAATCTGATGCCGGCTCCGCGGTGGCATCAGATAATACAGTATCCAGCGAGGGACAACCCCGCGAGGCCCTGATGATAAGTGCGGAGCAGATGGCCAAGATGCTTGAAGACGCTTTGGCTAAGCAGAAAGAAAGTTTCAAATTTGAGATGGAGATGGCCATGCAGCAGATGAGAGAAATGCATGACCAACAGATCCAAGCATTGGCGAACCAACAAGGCGAGCAGAATCATCGTAACCCGATTAATGTGGAAGATGAGGATACAAATGCTCGTAACACCAATGATCCTCCCGTCAACGCAGGGGGTGGTAATGAGAATGCTGGCGAAGAAACCGGCGAAAACCTGAAGATCAAGAACCTCGAGAGCAAAATCAACACACTAATTTCCGCTCAAGAGACGAAGAAAACAGGCATTCCTTGCCCATACCCAAGAGAATGGGAATCGATCCCATATCCGGCGAAGTTTAATCTAATTAACTTCACGCCGTTTAATGGGATGGGTTCACCTACCCAGCATTTGATTTACTTCAAATCGCATTTGGGGGTGATCTCTGGTAATGAGCCTCTGATGGTGCGGTCATTCGTCGGCACTCTTCGCGGAGCCGCCTTCGATTGGTATCGCCGCCTCAAGCCAGGCAGCGTAAACAGCTGGGATGACATGGAGACCAAGTTCCTGGCCAACTTCTTCGACGACGACACCGAGATATCTATCGGATCGTTGCTCGATGAGAAGCAGAAGGACGGAGAGTTAGTCGATACCTTCGTCAAAAGATTCCGGAACAAGGCGATGAATTGCCGGGACCCGATCACCGAGGAATTCATCCTCCAGACCTGCCACAACAACCTCGCGTTGGACGTGCTAGAAGCAATGGGGACAGCACCATCCAATACATGGAAGGACTTGAAAGTCCGGGGAGAGCAAGCTGAGCGATTCCTCAAGAGGAAGAAGGCGGAAAGAGGCCAACCGGCGACAAGTGCTCCAAAGCAAAACTTCGTCCCACGGGGGAAAGGTAAGGCACAAGCTAATGCAGTTGATGCTAATCAAACCTTTCAATTGCAACCACAGCAACAGCAGCCACAGCAACAAGCACCCCAACAATCTCGAGGACAATGGCAACAACGGCCTCAGAAGCAGAAATCTGCGGAGCCGAGGTTTCCTAAAGTGTACTCCTTCAAGGATGATGAAGTTCCCGGCATCTTCAAATACCTGTTGGAGAACAACAAGATCCAGTTGCCGGCGATCGTGGATCAAGAAGGGGCCAGCAAAGTGACGGATCCAAAGTACTGCGCGTACCACAGAGCGGTCCACCACCCTACGAGATCATGCTACCACCTCAAGGACAAGATCCAGGCGTTAATCGACGTAGGAGTCATAACCCCGAAACCAGCCAAGAATGTGGGGGCCAACGCAGTGTCAATCAGTTTTGGGTCAGTGCCTACAACTTGGTTCGAGCCAAAACGCGTCACCAAAGTCGGGATGAAGACGGTGAATGACGATCCGCACGGACAGCGCCAAAAGGGACTTGTGCCGCACACAACCCCAAATGGCGAAATCCTTTGGGTTCATCCAGATCTGATTGGAGATGAACAATGGGCCGGTTCGTCATCCGGGAGGAAATCTAAAGGAAAAGGGAAATCTTGTTATGGAGTCTCTGCTATCCCAGGAATAGATGACGAAAGAATCCTCACTTTCCCGCTCTCTGAAGAAGAACAAGAAGCTTTTGCGACACGGAGCGGAAACGGGTATCATTACAATTATCCACCACCTATCGAGCAGGGGGTGAATAAACAGGGACCAGCCAAAACTCTCACGGAAATGGGAGTGATTACAACCAAAAAATTCCCAAAAGTTACTGTTCACCGGTGATTTTTCAGTTACTGTTCATCCGAAAAAAATACTTCACTGTTCATCCGAAAAAATTTTTCATTACTGTTCATCCAAGAACATTACTGTTCATCCGAACCCAAAAAATGAATCTTTAACTAGAGATTTAAGATCAAAAACCCAATAAAACTTAAATCCCTAAGAATTAATCAAGGTGGCTCTGATACCACTTGTTAGATCTACATCATGAAACTTGAGATCTAAAACCATATAGCCATGATTAATTCAAAGAGATTAACAAAATCAAAAGAGCGGAAGCTTATACCTGAATCCATGGATGAACCTTGAGATGAGTTTTGGATCTTCTAACCTTAGGGTTTCTCTAAATCCGAATTTATCTAGCTAGATGGGGGTGTAGAGAATTAGAGAATGTTACCCTAGGTTAGGGACCATAACCCCTTATTTATAGATGTTGTACTTTTGTAATTTAGCCCCTCAATAAATTACAATTACAACCTGGTATCTGCACATATAACCCCATGACTTATTTAAATACCAAATTAACCCAACTTAATTGATCACTTCAGTGGGTTATCCTGAAAGATAGCAATACACAATGATTAATCATATGTGCCCACAAATAGATTTATTAGATTAAATCCAACACAGTAGTCTATAAGGGACTGTTTGTTTCACCATTTTTATGGAAAAGGAATAGGATTTGTGTCTGACAACGGCGAAATTGTAAATAGAGGATTTTTTATGAATCACATTCTTGAGTTTGGTTCCCAAATAATTTATAGATTTCGGTATCTATAAAGTTAAAAAAGTATGCTGATTTTTTATAGAAACCCAAATCCTAATGATTTGGACGGATTTGGGGCAGAAAGCTGACGCATTTGTAATATTCTTCCTCTTTTTATTTTTTCGGATTCCGTTTCTTCACAAACCTTATATTATTATGAGACCAGATCCTATTCTCATTCCAAACCAAACTAAAGAATAGGAATTGGAGAGTTTTCTATAAAGTTGGATTCTATTTTTTCATGTTATGAAACAAACATAGAAATGAAAAAAAAAAGATTCCATGACAACATAAAATTGTCTTAAAACTTTTTATGGATTAGCTAGGAATCCATAAAAAATATGAGATTCCTAATCCTATTCTTGCCCACTATTGAACCAAACACTCCCTAAGATAATGCGTAATAACTTCGAGATTTGGAGTTAATTTGGTTCTTATCTTCAACTTGAAGCTTGTTAACTTCCAACTGGGCCTGTCTCCTCCAGTATAATCACGATGTTGTGATCATTTAATGTTCAATGAGCTAACTCTCACCTAATCATGTGACTGACACTCCGATATTAATTTCTGACGTCATGCTTTTAGCTCAAGGAGCCTCACTATTTACTTACTCCATCAGTTGCAAGGACCATGACCATAAAGTAGGGGTGCTAAACCGTATCCGTATCCGAGAAAATATCTGTAACCGTATCCGTTAGGATACGAATATAGTTACTCAAATCTATAACCGATAGAATATGGTTACAGATATGGTTTTGTAGTGAAATATCCGTATCTGTATCCGAAATATCCGAATACATATTAGTCATATTCTTACGATAGTTTCGATTCTTAGATTATGGATTTTTGGTTAATTTTGATGTTCAAGATATCTAATCTTAACTTTTTAATTATAATGGACATATTAACAAACTCTTTTGTATCACATGAACTATGTTTTTCTAAATACTATCTAGTTTTCTCATATCTGTTTTGTATCTGCATGCATATCCGCATGTATATCCGTAACCGTATCCGATTTTAGCGGATATGGTTATAAATTTTTCTTACCAAGGTATATCCGTATCCGTATCCGTATCCGTATCCGAGATGGGTAAGCGGATATGGATATGATAAGCATCATCCGAGCCGTATCCGGACCAAATGCACCCCTACCACAAAGGCATTAAGGAATTTGTTTTGCATGCGCTCTATATTTTTGGATTGTAAATTCATAAAACCATTAGGACTTGTTGCTACTAAAAAAACTAAAAAAAAAGTATTCAAATGCTCAACCCTTTTGAGTTTCGAACTAACAATGTATGTCACAATAACGTTGATCATTAATAACATCTGGCATCATACTCCTAACAAACTCTATATGCAGATTTTTTCTTGCAACGGAACACAATTTGGATAAAATCGAAACCTGAGCCACATAAATGATTGCATCTTCTTGCAATTTTCGGTTTTATTCTTTCAGTTACAAATTTTTACCTCAAACATTTCCTCTTGATCAAATCCCACAACAAGTCAATCCTCACTCAATCTCTTCCAATACTTTCACTGATTTCTTCCTCCAGCTCAAAACACTAGGCAAACTCGCAAACCTCGGTATCTTCATCAACGAGTTCGCTCTGCTGACACCCTCAAGAGCAGTCCAAAGCTCCTTAGTCTCCTGTTTGATGTCCTCGGTCTCATCACAGAGATCCTCGCTCTTCGCTGTCTTGAAGCTTTCAGTGAACGAGAGCTCGCTGGTCTGTGAACTCAAGAAGCGGGTAGTGAACGAAGACTTTGCTGATAGCAGCGGAGACTTCAAGAACAGGCATATTACTGCACAGTCGTCGACCTTGGAGGTTGGATGTTTCGATCTCCAGGATTTAACTGCTTGTTGTACTACTTGCTTTGCTGCGTCGGAGCGTTTGGTGGCTGAGGAGATGATCCTGATGACATCCTCGTTTGAAAGTACATCCCATACCTGTAAGAAGATAATGTTCAGAATGTTACGGAGATGTTTGATATCATAATTTCCTAAATGAACGCATAGGTTATGTTTGTTGAGTTGAGAGGAGTGGTGGAAGCCATGAAATATTTTGTTATTATTTCTTTAGTAGTACAAACACACTATATTCTCAAATACAAATACTTCTCTCTTTCTCTCTCTCTCTGCTACTGGGATGGATCTAACACCAACACTTTGGGGGTTATTTATAATATTGGTTTAGAGGTAGGTAAACACTATTAAGGGGTTGTTGATTACTGTTGCAAGTAAGGTGGAGAGGAGGGTTCGGTAGGGTGGGGAGCTACTGACTTCTAACACTCCCCCTCAGCAGCGGTTTTTCTATCCACAAGGCCAAGAATTCTAACTTTCTTTTCAATGCTTGGATTTTCTCTCTCACTGCTTGTCTCCATTCTTCACCCTCGTATGCTTCTTTGAAGGTAGATGGCTCCTTCACATCTTTTGTAATGGCCACATTAGCATACTTGAGATTCGGTTTTCTGGGTTTGGTTGATCTTCGAAGTTATTCAGTTTGTTCTTCTTCGATATTCTCTATCTGGCTTGGGCGCTCTTCTTCTGATATTGTCTGATAAACACCAGTTATTCATGGATTATTCTCCTTTGAGGATGTTGAAGAACTTGGTTCTGTCTTCTTTGACTGCTTCAGTTCTTCTTCTTGACTTGGCTCCCCCAGCTTCTTCTGCAACTGATCCTCTAAATCATTAGAGTCTGGGAGCACAACTTCTTGTGGAGTCTACCAAGATGAGTCTTCGTCAAACACAACATTCTTCGATGTGTAGCATTGTCCGGTTGTGGGATCACAACATCTCTATCATTTTCTTTCATTGTCATACTCCATAAAAATACACATTACAGCCTTTTTGTTGAACTTATTGGGAAGGTGATCACGCACGAAGACATAACACACACATCCAAAAACTCTGAAATGGCTTACGGTTGGGTTAGTATTCCATAACTTTTGAAATGGTGACATGAACTCTAGTTTTGGTTGTGGTAGCCGATTGATCACATGCGCCACACTCTTCATACACTCCGCCCAAAAACGTCCTGGTACGTTCTTGGCATGAAGCATGTTTCAACATATCTCCACAAGGTGACGATTCTTCCTTTCAGCTACGCCATTCTGTTGTGGAGTATTTTGGGATGTTATCTGTCGCCGAATCTTGTGCTGCTTCAGGTAATCGTAAAACTTCTTCGATGTGTACTCTCCTGCATTGTTTGTGTGTAGGCTACGAATCTTCTTGCCAAGTTCTCTTTCGACTTCTTCTCGAAATCGTTTGAATTTGAAGAGTGCTTCAGACTTTTCCTTCATAAAATCAACTCAGACATACCTCGAGTAATCTTCGATGAAAGTGACCAAATACCGCATCCCACAGTTATAGCAACTACTGTCAGTTTTTCTTGCTCGACGGTCACCTTGCTTCTCACATTGTTGTATTTTGTCGGTGTATGGCTGTCCTGACTGCCTCCTTGAACCAGCCTTTCCATACTCCTCTTTCCTCGCGCCTCTTGGTTTCTCTCTCCTTGCTGCTGAAAAGTGCTTCATCTTCACTTTTTATTAAAACGACGGCCATTTGTTTAGCTAGAGTTTCATGTGTAGCGAGAAAACTCTATAACTCTAATAATGTTGGTTAGGTTGGCCACCCGTGTGTAGCAGCAACGAGTCCGTGATATTCCGGTCTCAAACCGTGGATGATTATTCTCCTCATCCTTGCATCGGATAAGTTAGAATTTGGATCTAGTTGAGCAATATCTGAACAGAGTGATTTTACTTGTTTGAAGTACTGACTGATTGTTAGATTCTTCTATTGCAGGGTCGTCAATTGATTCTCCAGGAGTTGAAGTCGAGCATCGTTCTTTTTCGAGAAGAGTATTGCGAGCATATCCCATGCCTTCTTCGGAGTTCTAGCATCTCACATATAGTCTACAAGATCTTCTTCTACCATCATCTTCAACACATACATAGCCTTGCGCTTTGATGTTCAACTTTGTTAATACTTTATCAGGTTCTCGATGTGCTGTAGTTTCAACACCCTCGATGACCTCCCAGAGGTCTTATCATTGTAAATATGACTTCATACATGTCTCCCAGTAGTTATAGTTATTATCGTTGAGTTTCTTGAGTGTAGTAGTCGTATTTACCAGATCCGCCATCGTGACGTGGTATTGCTTCAATATCTCCACACAAATCTGGTCCCTAACCAACCAACTTCATAGTCCCGAGCTGAACACGAACTTCGACCTTCAAGAATACCGATAGGATCATCGTAGGAGAGAGCATGTCCCTGACCGCCTTGCTTCTATCACAAACTATAACTTTTACTATTTCACGTGAACAGTAACCATACTTATAAACAGTAACCGTATTCATGAATAGTAACCATACTTATGAATAGTACCATACTCGAAAATAGTGTCCAACACCTTCAAAGGGTAAATGATAATCTAATTTATTTTCTGATGTGGAGGATCCACCTTTGGTGGCAGCCACAGAGCATATGATAAGCAGACACACGCACCCTAAACTAGGCTCTGTAGCACTTGTTGAGTTGAGAGGAGTGGTGGACGCTAAGAAACATTTTGTTATTATTTTTTTAGTGGTACAAACACACTATATCCCCAAATACAAACTACTGAGATGGATCTAACACAAACACTTGGGGGGTTATTTATAACATTGGTTTAGGGGTAGGTAAACACTATTAAGGAGTTACAATATTGGAAATAAAGTTATGTTGAAATAACTAGAAACATGCTGATAAATACGGAAAAAAATATAATTTTGTTATTATAATAAGGGATTAACCAAAACTATCTGAAATCAAGGAGGTGCATACTTTTTGTTAATGAGAAATTTTGGGATTTCAGCAAGTGTATCCTATATGATAGGTTCCAAAACTATAAAAATTATGACAGGTTTCATAGAGGAACACCATGTTCCTTTCAATAGTTCACTTCAATACTAGTGAATCTTTGCGATAACTTGTGTACTTAGCAAACTTGTAGACATGTCAACTACTATTCGTCGAAAATAATGTAACAATGATCGAAATTAGCAACCTGTCACCATCTTCAACCTCTAGATATGAGGCAAGTCAGACAAGAATAGCTTTATGATGTTGCATCTAAATCAGCATTCCTAACTTGTTTCATTCGAGCGATGAAATTTGTGGAAAGAGAAAATCTTAGTGTCATTTAGTGTTCGATGAGCTAACAGGCACCTAAATCATATGCCAAACCATCATGACATTAACTTCACACGCAACCATTCATAAAATTTTTGAAGGGCTCACTATCTACTTACTCCATCAGTTGCAAGGACCAAAAACTCATCCTTTTCTGAAATCTTTCTATATGAGACCTGCGGTGTTGATATGAGACCGAAATCTTTGAGGCAGAAATCTCCGAAAGCTCTTGCCATTGCAAGTCCTGGGCAGTCTTCATCAGGAAGCCAAATCCTATGAACGTCTGGCTCTTCATCTAGAGCAAACACTCTGCCCCTGCAACTTGTAATCCTTTCTTCTTCGCCTTAATTTGATAAAAAAAATGCAGATAAAAACTGTTAAAACTCCAATTAGGCCTAACATATAATGTGAGAATTAGAAGATTAAACTCACTTGGCAGATTTGGCTTTAGATCAACCGTGAGTTGGACTGGAACAAGTTGGTTAGTATTGTCTCGGGTGCAAAGGATAGCCCGTGAATCTCCTAAATTTGCGATCATCAGGTGTTCTCTCTGGGGAGGAGAGGGGGAAAAACAGAGAATGAAGAAGAATTTACTATGGTAGTATTTACGTTGTGCATGCATATATATGCAAGTGATACATGTATTTACGGTTAATTGCGGGTGGATGCCCTGTAATATCACCAAATTGTGGACGGATTCCCTGAATGAATTTTTTGAGTACATTACGATCATGAGATACATTTGTCGAAAAACAATTTTTTTTTCTCTGAGGGACAAAGAGTCAAAAGTTCCATTCAAGGGGTCTATCCGCAACAATACAACTATAGGGCGTATACCCACAATTAAACCCATGTAACTATGGTTTCCATGATTGCATGTTTTTAATATGTACATACAGACGTAGGTATGTATACCCCATGTGTACGTATGCTGTGCATCCTAAAATCTGAATAAGTACTAGAAAAAGACTACTTATGCAGATTCAACCTTTTATAAATATACGATTATGAGTCATCAACCCAAACATTTCCAAGCAAATTTCTGAGAACTGATCAAGTTGCAATACCTGTTTAACAATTGACACAGCCGTGGTTCCACTGCAAATACAGTCAATGGTGGCATGGTTGCTGAGCTCCTTATCCAATTCCTCAAAGGCTTTGGTAAACGTAGACTTCCATGAAGAGAATTCACTTGTATCAGCATTGTCATCGTTGGGTTCGACATGATTATCATCGTCTAGTATCGTTTGCAACGAGTTTAATCTTGAAGAGAGTTTTGATGGTAGATTATCGCGAATGTAACAAGCAACCCTGTGGCCATAAGGTCCATGCCCGTCGAATACACCACAGAAGGTAGTGTCACTGGCTCCACCAAAGTCCTATATATAGAATGTAAAATTGGAACGCAAGGAGGATTCTCATTATGCAAGGGATGTAGACACTAAAATTCTTGGGTTTTTTGCTTATATAACCCCCAGAGGTATCCCATTTTGCGATTTTCGTACCCTCTCATTTAACACCGTAAAATGGGTAGGGCTAATTTAGCAGAAATGCTGATGTAGGGGATACGCTTACGGGTATGGTAGATTCGGGAGGTACATAGGTAAACAAAAATTTCAGTTTCTAAAGACAGGGTGCATTTTTATTGTCGTACAATCTTCTCAGTTAATCCGCAATTAAGGTTGTTTTGGGGGTGTATGTGTAAAAAACCCCTAAATTCTTATTGAGTTCAAACAATGTCCTCTGCAATTTAGCGATTCAAAATATATTCAGTTACCACTCAAGTTAATAATTTGCTTCTTTTTTCTCTAACATTTCGCTTTGTCTATATTGGGAATTTACATGCATGTAAAAGTCCATTTACTTTTATTTAAGCGACACACTAAAATTGGGTTTAGTTTGATACTTGAGCTCTGCTCAAGGGCCTGATTTCTCCTGAGCAGTGACTTTGCCATCTTCTTAATTAATTCTCTTCATACTTGTAGAATACAAGGTTCATTTAAAAAAAAAAACTAAATTCAGATAATGTACATCTGTGTATTTCTAATCTCTATTTATAGTAGCTAGTTTAATTATAATACCCAGTTCACCCGGCCTATTTCTATCTTTTTCAACAAATTAAGTTGTTTAGAAAGTTCTTGTAGCGGTACGAAAATTTCAGTGACGTTATTAGCCTTATACGATTCAAAGAAATTAACTGACGCTGCGTCAAAACTCTAAAGTTAGACTGATAATTAATCAAGAATAAATCCTCTCAGGCTTCGCTTAATTACCTCCCAGATGGTCATTGCGTCCTGGTTGACCCCCTTCCATCCTTGTTGCGAAAACATAGAAGAGCAGCTCGACGACCCTCGCAACCTCACACGCGCTCCTCCCTCGCCCACACGCGCGCCGTCCTCCGCGTCCTGATCAGCGCAGTCCTGGAACCTGAACACTTCGAACTCCTGGTCATTTTCTCCGCCGTGACGTCCCTTCTTCCTCCCTTTGCTACAACAGCTTCCCATGAGAGAGGGGGAGGGTGGGGGAGAGGTTGGGGGGGTTGGAGAGCATAAATGAGGGCTCCTGTGTGCATTAAACGTGCTGTTTCCTTTGCTGGCGCGTTGGTTGTCTCGGTTGGTTGGCTAGTTTTATATTTATTTATTTATTTATTTATTTCGTTTTAAATTTTTTATTTTTGGATGATGACGATGATTCACAAGGAAAGGGGGCATTGAAATGGGTGAGAAAACTAAACTTGCCCGTTTACAAACTCAAGGTAACGTTAACTAGCTAGCCCTTCGAATTTGTCTTGATTTTTAGAATTCTGAAAACAAGTTACGTATGCAAATGCTCACACGTCTGAGAAATCAGTGTAAATGCTCTCATACATAGAAGAAAAAAAAAGGGTTTTTTCTTTTTTAACCCAAAGTTTTACCCCCACTTATTTAAAAACCCATTAACTTTTCCAAACATCAATACACCCATTGTATCCCACCCCACTTATTTCTAAACCCAATATGTATAATAAACCCATTATTACTGTATTTACCCTCAAATTCACTACACAAGCTCTTTTCTTCCTTCCTCTTCTCCTTCAATGACCACCACCAACCTCCTCCTCTCCCCTTCCTTCACTTCCCCTCCTCCCTCAAACCCATCAACCTCTCCCTCTGCTGCCCTTTATCTCCCCTCGCCGCCACGTCACCCACCGCCGTCAACCTCGAATCGGATGAACAGCCCACCAACGGTTTCGACATCGACTCCCCCCAGTTCGCCGACATGGAGGCAGGCAAGGATCTGAAACACTTGTCGTCGCCCACCACCTGTTCGTTGAATTTACGCTTAATGTTCTCTGATGTATGTCATGTGAGCTTGTAATCAATTTTTCAGATTTTAAAAAAGTGCAACTCTTTATAGTAAAGTGTTACATATTGTGATGATCTTTTGTAGTGGTGATGTGTAATTGTTGTTTCACACTGTAACTATGTTCTTATTGTTAAAACTGTGTCGTTTCAGAGTTGAAATTGTATCGTTTTTGAGCAACGCAAACGTGTGATGACATGTAAGATGTGTTGTTTGATCAATTGATGATGTGTAAGATGTGTTGCTTGATATCACATCTGCCCTAAGAGAGAGTGGTTTTCTAGCTTTGAGGAGCTAGAAAGAGGGGATGTCGTGCTTATGGGTAATGATCACGTATGCCCTATTGGTGGTATTGGTTCAGTCCGGATCAGGATGCATGATGGTGTAGTGAGGGAATTGAAGGAAGTGAGGTTCGTGCCGCAGTTGACGAAGAACATCATTTCTCTTGGGACTTTGGAGGCAGCAGGATATCGAGTGATCTTAGAGGATGCTACAGTGAAGGTCACGAAGGGTTCTATGGTGGTGATGCGAGGTGTCAGGGAAAACTACCTATACTACTTGAAGGGCAAGACAGTTACAGGGGGTCTGGCAGCTTCTATCACTACAGAGGAGGACACTACCACCTTATGGCACATGAGACTTGGACACACAGGAGATAAGTCCCTACAGTCATTGGCTAAACAGGGGCTATTGAAAGGTGCTAAGACCTGCAAGATGGAATTGTGTGAGCATTGTGTACTTAGGAAGAAGACTAGAGTGAAGTTTGGCACCGCTGTTCATAACACCCTAGGTACATGGGATTATATTCACACGGACGTTTGGGGTCCTTCCAAGAACACATCTCTTGGTGGGGCCAACTATTTTGTCACTTTCATTGATGATTATTCCAGGAGGAATTGGGTATACCCGATGAAGCATAAACATCAGGTCCTGGATATTTTTGTGGAGTGGAAAAAGAAAGTGGAGCTGCAGACAGGTAGAAAGGTGAAGACTCTACGTTCAGATAACGGTGGAGAGTACAAGAGTGATCCGTTTCTGCAGTTTTGCCGGGATCACGGCATTAGAAGACACTTCACAGTTCGAGAGACACCGCAACAGAACGGGGTGGCTGAGAGATTGAACCGTACCTTGCTGGAGAAGGTGCGGTGTATGATGACGCAGAGTGGATTGCCTAGATCTTTTTGGGCCGAGGCGTTGGTTTATGCGAGCCATCTTGTGAACAGGTTGCCGTGCACTGCGATAGACGGGAAGACTCCTTTGGAGCGTTGGTTTGGTTCGGTGGCTAGTGACTATGAGTCGCTTCGGATATTCGGGTGTCCAGCTTATTATCATGTCAGTGATGGTAAATTAAATCCGAGAGCGAGGAAAGCAGTCTTTGTGGGATTTAGAGATGGAGTCAAAGGCTATTCAAGGAGGCAGAGTCTAGCCCCGATTCGATCAGGTGGAGGGAAGCTATGGAGGAGGAGATGTGATCTCTTCAAAAGAACGACACTTGGACACTTGCACATCTACCTAAGGGTAAGAAAGCTATTGGTTGCAAGTGGGTATATGCGAAGAAGGAGGGATCTTCTATTGGGGACATTCGGTTCAAAGCCAGATTAGTTGCCAAGGGATATGCACAGCTTGAGGGCATTGATTATAACGAGGTATTTTCACCCGTTGTGAAGCATTCGTCGATTCGAATTTTATTGGCGTTGGTGGCACAGTTGGATTTGGATTTGGTCCAGATGGATGTGAAGACAGCCTTTCTACACGGTGATTTAGATGAGGAGATCTACATGACACAACCACAGGGTTTCAAAGCTGCAGGAAAGGAAAATTTGGTTTGTAAGCTGAAGAAGTCTCTTTATGGTTTGAAGCAGTCACCAAGACAGTGGTATAAGAGATTCGACGGCTTTATGATTGGCCGAGGGTACACGAGGAGCCCATATGACCCATGTGTTTATATGCACAAGCTACAGGATGGTGAGCTCATATATTTGCTTTTATATGTTGATGATATGCTTATTGCTTCCAGGAATTCTTCAGCTATTCGAAAGCTGAAAGAGGAGTTATCATCCGAGTTTGAGATGAAGGATCTTGGAGAGGCAAAGAAGATATTGGGTATGGAGATCGAGCGAGACAGGGTGAAGGGGAAATTGAAGCTTACACAGAGGAGTTACTTGCAGAAGATGTTGAAGAAATTCAGCTTTGATGGCAATGCAAAAGCAGTTAGCACACCATTGGCTCCACACTTCAAACTTTCAGCGTTGATGTCACCTGTTTCAGTTGAGGACAGAGATTATATGTCGAAGGTCCCATATGCCAGTGCAGTAGGTAGCTTGATGTATACGATGGTGTGTACGAGGCCAGATTTGTCACAGGCCGTGAGCATGGTATCGAGATACATGCACGACCCGGGGAAGGGTCACTGGGAGGCCGTGAAGTGGATTCTACGGTATGTTCGAGGCACCGTGGATGTTGGTTTAGTATTTCAGAAGGATGAGAAGGATGGGCAGGCTTGTATTGGATATGTGGATTCAGACTATGCTGGAGATCTAGACAAACGCCGGTCTACGTCAGGTTATGCTTTTACATTGGCAGGTGCACCTGTATGTTGGCGTTGCACGCTTCAGTCCACAGTGGCTCTCTCTACTACAGAGGCAGAGTATATGGCAGTTACTGAAGCTATTAAGGAGGCTTTATGGTTGCGTGGATTATTGGAGGACTTGGGGATTGCACAGGAGACTATTCGGATATATTGTGATAGTATGTCGGCTATCTATTTGGCAAAGAACCAGGTTTATCATGCGCGCACAAAGCACATCGATGTCAGATTCCACTTTGTACGGGACGTCTTGGATGATGGAGATGTCATATTGGAGAAGGTCCACACAAATGACAACCCTGCAGATATGTTGACCAAAGTTGTTTCAGGTATAAAATTTGGTCATTGTTTGAAGCTTTTGAACATCCTTCAGTGCTGAGGCCTTTGGAGGCCATTTGGATGAACTACGTTCGGCTTGATTCCTTGGGCAAGAGGATATGTAGGCAGTCTTTCAGATGCAGCCGATTTGATCAGTTGATTTAGATAGGGGGGAGATCGCGTTTCAGCTCGAGTATTGTTCCTGGACTTGTTGAGGAACTATTGGATGATTTGGTGTCGGCTCAGTTTTTGGTGGAAACATTCGCCGAGGTGGAGAATTGAAGAAATTACAGAAACTCAGAAGAATCAGGCAAACCAGGCGGCGGTCGACCGGTCCGGTCGACCGCATTCGTGCACAAAGCTTACTGTGCGTCAGGAAGGTGGTCGGTCGACCGGTGCGGTCGACCGAGGGGTTCTCTGGATTTTTGGGTTTTCGACTGGGAGCTGGTCGGTCGACCGGGCCGGTTGACCGGAATTGATCGCGGTCGACCGGGCCGGTCGACCGGCGCTATTTTGGCAGGTTTTTGACCCGTTTCGGTTTGAAATCTATATATACCCTAAACCTGATTTGTTAGAGTATCTGAAGGACGATTTTGAGCAGCCTCTAAGAGAGATTTGTTGCATCCAATTGTAGGAGAGCTTTGATAGATCAAGAGCTTTGTTTTAGGGTTTGGTCTGAGAGATTTGTAACCCTATTTGTATTCTCTTGATTTCTAGTAGAAAGCACTCCCCCCCCCCTCCTTGCCCCGTGGACGTAGGCAACTTGCCGAACCACGTAAATTCTTTGTTCTTGCTGTGATTGTGGTTTGCATATTATTTATGGTTTAGTTCGAGTTATTGTTAGTGTTGCCCTAGAAAGCTTCCGCCGCGCACAACAACAGTTTCAACAATAAGAACATAGTTACAGCGTGAAACAACAATTACACATCACCACTACAAAAGATCATCACAATATGTAACACTTTACTATAAAGAGTTGCACTTTTCAAAAATCTGAAAAATTGATTACAAGCTCACATGACATACATCAGAGAACACTAAGCGTAAATTCAACGAACATGTGATGGGCGACGACAAGTGCTTCAGATTCTTGCATGCCTCCATGTTGGCGAACTGGGGGGAGTCGATGTCGAAACCGTTGGTGGGCTGTTCATCCGATTCGAGGTTGACGGTGGTTTGGTGGGCTGTTCATCCGATTCGAGGTTGACGGTGGTGGGTGACGTGGCGGCGAGGGGAGATAAAGGGTAGTAGAGGGAGAGGTTGATGGGTTTGAGGGAGGAGGGGAAGTGAAGGAAGGGGAGAGGAGGAGGTTGGTGGTGGTCATTGAAGGAGAAGAGGAAGG